GCAGGAAAAAGCCTAGGGTGAAAATAAATTCACATAGATACCAAACCCTCTTTGCCAGTGTGGAAAGCTGTGAGAAGTCTGTGTAACTGAGGGTACTGGTGAAATTAAAACATTTGAAAGCAGGAGTATTTTATATTTAAGGTTATCTCTGTGGTCATATTTTTCTAAGCACACAGCTTTTGAGAGGCTGAGGTAATACCTGTAGTGAGAAGTTCCAGCTAAAACTTTGTATTACGGAGCATCATACATAACATGCAAAGACCCAGGGCCAGAATAAAAGTATGGGTTGTTTTGGTTTGGGTTTGTTTGGGTTTTTTTTTTGGTTGGTTTTTTGTGTGTGTTTTTTTTTTTTTTTTTTTTTTTAGAAAAGGCTTTACGAGAAGATATTTCTTTGTGATTATTCTGAAGGACTTCAGTGAGATTAGGAAGTAAAATGAGTTTAAACAGGAGTATTTGAGAGTCTCAGCTTTGACCAACTTGCTTTATTTTCTGCCCTTCCCGTTTTGTTTTAATTTTTCTTTTGCTGAGGTACTCGGTTTTCTCTGAAGGCACGAGACAGGCTCACTTGCACACGTGTCAAATCTCCAAATTTGCCTTTGGTTGCAGGTATCCTGAATTCTGCGCCACTGCTCTTGCCAGGTCGACATGCATTGAATGCAGGATTGCTGGCTGCCAGCGCTGGTGGAATGATTCCATACATGATTGATCCTAGTTACACTATGGGCGTGACTTGCTTAGGTTCTGTGTCAGCTCTCTCAGCCATAATGGTAAGTCAGGCCGTTCTAAGAGGTGAAACAAATTAAACAAGCAGTTTGTTCTTTGACTTTGCAGGATTCCTCTTAATGGTTGTATTTTACCAGCCTGAGTCACAGTCATCATAGTGCCTGTATGCTAACTTGCAGTAGCAAGTAGCAGCTGACTTCCCTAAATCTAGCAGTAAATTAGAACTTTTGCAGAGAACAGGCATGTGTATGTAGAATTACTTTTTGCAGCTATGACTTAATGGAGCCTTTTATATGACAAACTGTTACTTTAAAAGACTTCTTGGAAAGTTTACCTTTAAAATAATTAAAAGAGCACTAGGTCTACTGGTTATCCTAACTTAGTAAGATTATCCCCATGTTTAACTTCCCCCCTTCTACTCACATCAGCTGTTGCAAAATTTACCTTGAATGTTACCATTCCGTAAACCAAGTCTTGCAAAGACTTCTCAGTACCAATCCTTTAATGTTATGAAGATTCATGGAGCTGGTAGGATATTTTTCCAAGTAAAAATATCTGACTAAGCACAGGGTGAGGACAGTGGAGTGCCTTCCTGACCTCTCTCAAAAGGCAGAATCAGTATGTCTAATTCTCAGACTACAGCTTAATGTCTCCTACATTGAAAAGACTTGAATAGGTTAGTAACTTGATATTTATTTTTCAGTGCTGGAGGCAGATTGTCTTCTCTGCATGTTCTTAGTTATAGCTTGTACTGAAGCATTTTATTTCTTTTTCCAGGGTGTCACTTTAACAGCAGCTATTGGAGGTGCTGACATGCCTGTAGTTATTACTGTCCTCAACAGTTATTCTGGATGGGCTTTGTGTGCTGAGGGCTTCCTACTGAACAACAACTTGCTGACCATTGTTGGTGCACTCATTGGCTCTTCTGGTGCCATCCTATCTTACATCATGTGTGTGGTAAGAAGTCAGCAGAAATTGTGCTTGTTTTCCAAGTAATAAAAAAACTGTTCAGCATGTTTGCTAGGAAGATAAGCAATTGGAAGACCAAACTGCTAGGTGTTTACAGACTAGATTGAAACTGTTGGATTAGTTGCCAGTCATGTCTCTTTGGTTTGGAGAGATATGTACTTCAAAACTGCAGAAAGTCTTTGCATTGATTTGGGCACTGAGGTTTGGAATCTGGACTCAAGTTTAATTCCTTGTGCTCAGGTGTTCTTTTTAGATGTATCACTCTGCAGTGTTGTTACATTTAAGCTAAATGAAAAATCTGTCAGCAGGAGATACTCTAAGTAGTGAGTTCCTTTAAACAAAAAAGAAGTTTGGTTTGATAGGAGGTAATGGAAAGTTAGATTTTTGGAGTGTAGGAGAGTGTGCCGCTCTCTTCAGAGCAGCTACTCTGAAGTACCACGGGGTGGCAGCAGGCTTGCATGAATGTAGTGCTGGTACAAATGTCTGTGTTGGAGCAAACTCGAGCTTCAACCCTGTCTGTAGATCATACTGCATTGTTATTAACGGTTTCTTTTTCTCTGAAACGTTTGTGGATAAGTCTTTTGTTTTCCTGTGTGTGTCTCCTTTTTGTTTTCAAAGATGGAGAGGTAATGACTTAAAAAAATCTCTACCCATTCACAGCTACCAACCTGCTGCTTATCTATTGTGTAATTGTTTTTCACTTCTGCTGTTGTCTTCTTGTATGATCAGTATCACTGTTCTCTTGTCCTAATGTTTTCCTGTGGTCAGCTCTGGCTATCTTTTTTCACTTCATATCTGCTGATAAATAGTGTTGTTACCATGTTAGGAATCAATCCTTTTTATTTCTCTTGAGGAACAATTTCAGAAAAGCTTAAAAAAGTATTTTTGTGCAGCTTTGTGGAGATGAGTTCAGGTGAACAATCCCAGGTATGAATTTTAAAGAATCTTGTTTGTTCTTGAACGTTTTGTATCTCCTTATCAAAAGAAAATCTGATTATGTGGTTCATGGGTATACTTATTTAGGTATAAATGTATATGTTCACTTATATTTGTATACAATCAGCAATTTAGTCCATATCAGCAGAAAGGTGATGCTTATGGGCAACACAGGAATGAAAAGTGTGTTCTTTAAAGATGAAATTCTTGTAAGTCTTGGTGAAAATATAATCTCTTGGGTGTGTATTTACATAGATATAATCCCTCTGTAGCTTCATTTTTCTTTTACTATCCTCTTCTGTTTTTTTATTTATTTATTGGTACCTCCTCTCAGCACTCATAAGAGAGTTTTGAGGTACTGCGTTTGTTATTTGGAGGAATGGAGGTAAATAGGAAGCCTGGGGAAGTCATTAGCAAAGCAATTATACTGTGACAGAGTGGCTTTCCCCTATGTATTTCTAAAATTTCAGGAAGTTTAGTGTTTGAGATAGGATTCTAGAAGTCTTGTGCTGCTTCATATGAGCTTAGACAAACTTCAACAACCAATAAAATACAAATATTTTGTATAATTTCTGCATAATAAGCAGAATAACTTGTTTCTAGCTCAGCATTTTTCTTTTTTACTTCCTTTAATGGAAATTGTTACTTTTAAAAGTATTGTTGTAATTAGAGGATTCAGTATCATTGTCTTGAAGCTGCATTTCAGGAGAAAAAAAGCTCAACAGTTTCAGTAAACTGATTTAGGCTTTGTAACCTGTGCTAATGAGGCAACAGTTGTCCTCTCTCTTTTTTTTTTTTTTTTTTTAAACTTCTTCCCCCCTCTAGTATGACTTCCATGCAAAGCAGTGTTTTTATTGAAGCTTATCTAGTACAGATGAGAAGGTGTTTTTTGAAACATCTTACTGGTTGACACTTTCTTTTTACAACATTTCCAATTACTTTTGTGATAAAACTATAGCTTAATCACCCAGATCGTATCCAGATAATCTCTTAAAGTTTGAGTTGATAAAATTGGCCAACACGTATTCAGATAACCACTTAGTATTTCACTTGTATCTGCTTGATTTAATACATATCTCTCTTTTGTGCCTATTAGTTGGGTGAGTTAAGGACAAAGAATTTAACTTCAAAACAAAAAAGCAAAGGCCTGTAGTGTTCAGACATCCTGTGAATTGCAAATTCTCTTAAAACAGTAACACAACATGTCTTCATCAGAACACTTGGTTGTATTAGCATGTCCTTCTCTCCTTTTTTTTTTTTTCCCCTGAGTGAATCCTTGATGATCACAAGTGTAGTACTAAAACTGGTATGCTTAGGGATGGGGAAAATGCTTCAGGTTGAAGAGGAACCATTAACTGGGGTCATGAAAACAGAGCAAGAGAAAATCGTGTGGTGGTCCATCACCTGAACTACCTGCGCAGTTTCGGTGGGCACAATGGAAGGACTTGGAGGTCTCAGGGATCAAGTGTTTGCTTTTCCCTGGGCTGTAAGCTCCTGGGCAGTATCACCTGTGTGTGCATGGCAGAGAGGGCTTTTTGCTAGTAGTTGGACTATCTGAGAATGGTGAAGCCTGCACTTGGTTGTGTTCGTGGTCTCTGATGGTACAGAAGATGAAAGAGTTTCCCTGGGCTGAGGAGTTCTCAGCTGCATTGTTTGTTTGTTGTTTGTTGAGGTCTTGGCTTATTTTGAAGTCTTCTGTACCACTCCCTTTTATTTTCTTTTTTTTTATTTTCTTTTTTTTTTTCCCACTCTGGGTTTTTTGCCACACTTCCTGATTCCTCAACTCTTTGGTGTGAAGCCAGGCAAGGGTGCTTCAGTCTCATGCTTGCTGTGTGTGGATTCTCAGATTTCTAATAATATTTGAACTATTTTTCCTTTGGTCTGGTCTTAGTGTATTCTTTTGGTTTAGATATGTGTAGAAAGTACTTTGCTTCATGTAAGGTTAGTGTGTGTAACATCTGAAGAGGGTATTCTGTCTAGACTGTCTACCTGACACCTAACTGCTGTAATAGCCTGTTCTTCAGTTTGACAGTTTAATATTGTGATACTTGTCAAAGGCAGTGTATTCTTAGAGGATATGAATTACTGCCTGCTGCAGACAGTAGAAGGATGCTGATTTCATTGCATTTGTGCGCCTGCCTTACAGTATCTGATACTGATGATGTGTCAGTACATCTGCCAACACCTTTGTTGTACTTACTTGCGGATGATGAATTTCACAGGATGGCATATCTTCTCAGGCTACAACAAAAAAACTGTGGAGTTGCATGATTTGAAATGTCAGTGGAAAACGGACCCTTGGAAGCATAGTTTCGTGTGGGTGTTTCCTCTTGCTTATGTGTGTGTGCCTCTCCAGATCCATTCTCAAATTTTGCTGTGGTTTCTGAGCTAACACAGCAGATGTATGACACACATGTTTAATTAAAGAAGCAATTTATCCTGTTCCTTTCCTGCTTCCAAAGTTTTGTTTACTGCAGTTACAAGTTTTGCCTGCTTACACATATTGACAGATACTGCTTTGGGACCATATTCACAAGGAGACATGCCAGTGAAAGCATTTAGCCAGTGGCTTTTCCTGGCTAATTTTCAGGATGTGTTCTCCTCTTAAAGCTCCTATTTTAGGATCTCTTGTTACCCTTTGGTGCTCAGCCAGTAAGTTAATGGTCCTCTTCAGTTTATTACGATTTGTTTTGAGTTAGCGTTGGGTAAATTTTGTATGGCTACTTAGCTTTGTTGTGTTTTTCCTGCCTTGATGCTGCAGGAGCTTTGCTTCTGTACTACCTGTAAGAGCTATGCAGTTTCCATGCTGTCATGTAGCAGTTCGGTGCTGATGTGTTGAATTGCTCAAGAACTTAAGAAAATATCTTGCAAAAATAGTGTGTGTGTATGAATGTAAAAACAAACCTGTCATCACATATGCATTCGTTTGTATTTCTGTCTTTCAAGAACCAAAAGAGACCAATATTTGCTATTTGTGTTGTTTTGTTCTTTGTCTTAGGGAAATGCTGATGCTCTTCCATTACATGTAATGTGTTAGAAGCTGATGTTGGGCTACTGTTGTGAATCTGTGTCTCTGTTTTAAGGAGCCTGTTTTAAGAAATTTTGAGTTGTAAGCAGGCAAAAGTAGTGGAGAAAGACTATTGTCAGGAAGGCTTTAATAGTTTCAGAAGTTTTGTTTGTGAACATCACTTCTGTATTTTTGGATTTCATCTTTACCTGATGAAAAACCTCTTGTCTTTCAGGCTATGAACCGTTCCCTTTCAAATGTGATTCTAGGAGGCTATGGCACCACGTCAACAGCTGGTGGGAAGCCCATGGAAATTACTGGAACCCACACAGAAATCAATGTGGAAAACGCAGTTGAAATGATAAAGGAAGCCAATAATATTATTATTACTCCAGGTAAGACATTCTTGATTCATACAGCAAGAAGTTCAGAGGATATATTGTTTTTTAAAAAAACCCCTCAAAACCCTAAAAAAACCCCAACCCCAAAAGAAAACAAACCTCATCCAACCAACAAAACCAAACAACCTACCCCCCCAAAAAACCTGTAGCCCGTCTTGCAGTTGCAACATAGCAGTAGCATGGCAAATGTTGACTGGGTTTGTGGTATATGTTTTTGTTCGCACGTTGTCATTCCTTCGTGTAGACATTTATGACACTTTATTTTTCCTTGTGTGTGTCTTCAAAATTTGTGCTATATATTTAACCTTAAAACTTTTCAGGACAAAGACTGTCTTCTGTAAATTTTGTTTGCAGTTGATTTTTTCTGCAGTGTTGTGGTGTGAGTTTCCAAGCACTACCACAGTACCAGTGGTACCAGTAACAAAATAACTGTCTGTTAAGTTACTGGAAGAGGGGATTTTGTTTATGATTCTCATCTACTTGCTCAAGTCTGCATTGTACTGTTAAAAAAAGAGCAGAAAAACATCTAAAACTTAGTTAGTATGTAATAAATAATGCCATTAAAGTAGAATGAAACCTGAAAAGCAAAACCCTGAGTTGTCTGCAACTACTGTGTTGGCTGTAGGCTCATATGGTTCAATAGCACATTCCCTGTTAGAAGAGGTCAGGTAGGGAATAGCTCAAGACTTGTTTTCCTTCAACTGAATGGCACAAGTATTGCGTTAAATTTATTTTAGCATTTGAATACAAAGAAAGCTAACAAAATTATCTTTCATTTTGCTTCAGCTTAAATGAAAACATCAGTGAGGTAGGGTTCTGATTTGGGAAGTCATCTTTGTTTCCATGAAAGCTTGCAAACATTTTCAAAGAGTTTGTGTCTTGCTCCTGTGGTCAAACCTTGGGGGGTACACCATTAGTAATTTATGCTCTCCATTTTCTTCCTGGGCACTTTTACTCTGATGATTTGATTCAGAGAGAAAGATTGAAAAGATTATTTGCTCCTAAAGCAAATCTAGTAGTACGTTGAGGGTAATGGTGGTGAAGTAACCTGACAGTGGCCTCTTTATCAGTTTTTTGGTGTACCTGTCTGAAACATCCTTTTCTGATAGAAAAAGGAACACATACTTTTGTGTAGTTGAAATAAGTTACTTGCATAGTTTGACTGGTCAAAGCACTATACTCTTAGTGGTCATGGGACCAAAAAGAAGAGTGGTCAGTGGGAGTACAGTGGTCAGGCTGGGAATATAGGAGTATCAGGTGTGTGCATGTACATTTACATTTCTTTGTTTATTTTTAATTATGGGAGCTTCTGTTTGTGTGAAAGGTATGCTTTCTGTCTTTAACTATTCTGTCTGCACTGAAACAAAAAAATAGCTTAAAATTTGGAAATTCTTTCAGGTTATGGTTTGTGTGCAGCAAAAGCTCAGTATCCCATAGCTGATCTGGTGAAGATGTTGAGAGAACAAGGGAAAAATGTAAGGTAAGTACTTTCCTTGAGTATTACAGTTGGTTTTTTTTTGTTGTTGTTATTTTGGTTTTGGTTTTTCTTCATTCCAGTAAAATCCCCTACAAGTCTTTGTTCTGGTTTAATTTATCTTCCAGTCATTATTATGCTGATCTCTCTCTCAGAATACTAGCTAAAAGAATGCTCTAGTTTTACTAAGCTATAGCTGAATACCTAGAAATTTTGTGCTTCAATATAAAAGATTCCTTACTCCTTTAAACTCTTCTTAAATTTGATTTTTGGAAGAACCCTAGCAGTTGGAGAATCTTCTTTTTTTTTTTTCTTCTTCTTTTTTTTCTTTCTTCTTTTCAGTTTTGTTCTATTTGTCATGCTGAAATTCAGTTAAAATGAATAGTTTTAAAATTTAATACTTCTTTATTGAGGCAACAAAATCTTACTTTTTTGAAAGGTAAGTAAGTTAGCTCCTTTGCACACATATGCTCTGCCTCTGGATATAGTAGTATTTTGCTACACAACAAGCTGTGGAGTTATTTGTAAAATAAAACTTAAATGTAATTCTGCATTGTGTTCAAGAGAAAAGTTAGCCTTTTCAACAGGTGGGGAGGTTGGAGAACTCTCTGAAAGCAACCACTTTGTGGGAATACATAACTGTGAAGAGTAATCACAACAGCTGACATCAGTGCAGGGAGAATAGCTTTTATGTTTGTAGTGAATAGGGAGACAGCACAGGCCTAATGTAAGTGGCTTTGAATGGCCTTGTAGAGAAACCTCCATTGAGGAGGACTGTTTATCAGAGTAAAAATAGCTTTTTTTTTTTTTTTTTTTTTTCTTTTTTAAGCCCTGATTTCTTAAAGAAATGGACCTCTCTGCTTGGGGAATGGTTAAAGGGGTGCAGTGGGAATAGTTAAGGATAATAGGCTGGAAAGGAGAGCTTTCTACAGTATGGGAGAAGTGTTTGCTGAGGTCAGTCTGGTATGAATTGAAAGAGCAGATCAGATAGCAGTCTCCGCACCAAAAATACAGGACTTATTTATTTTCTGGGATAACTGACTTGAATTAATAGAAGTAATGCTTACTACCGCACAGCAATGTTTATGTATTAAAAAGAATATGGATAGTTACATCCAATTCTGATTGGCATGTTTGAAACAAAGCTGAAAAAAATTAATCACACTATAATGCTAGATGCCCTTCTTAGGTTAAAAATCCACAGTCTGCCTTGCTGTTTTAGTCTCTTACAACCTCTTCCACAGTCTGGAATAGCAAAAGACATTCAGTGCATATTGATTAGAGGTGTCTTGCAGACATTCAAGAGCTTCTCTTTTTGGACTGATGTGCTGCACACAGTGCCTCTGTTTAAAAGTGTATTGCCTGTCTGTTACGTTACGTGGAATCATAAATCAATCCATGTAATCTTGCATTAGCAGCAGGGCTTTAGCTTCTACAGGATATACTGCCTGATTTCCCTTTGCCTCTTACAAGCATTAAGGCTGTGATATTTTCTCTCACATCGTGCTTGCAGTTTTCTACAGTCTGGTTTGTTCAGAAAGAAGCCAGTGAACATTGGAAGGTCTGAGGATGTAAACTTCTGTTACCATTTTAATGTAACCTCCAGTCCATTAAGCAACTTACTGGATTCTCACAAATTTTTGCTATTGCAAGCAACTGCTATTAGAGTTCTTTGAGTATTGCATGGAAAGGCAATTGGAGTGCATATGTCAAGATGCATGTTTTTTGCTGGAGTGCTGCTCCAAAAACCAGAGATAATTCTTAGATGTCAGTAATGGCCTGAAGTCCTTTTCTTCTTCAATTTTCCATAGAACTTACAGATATTGAAAGTACTGGCAAGACAGCATCATGCCTCCCTTGCTGATTGTTTGGAAACAACTGTTTTCTAATTATGGTAACTTAATACTTTAAAAGTCAGTCAAGGCTCTGTTTTCATTTGAAACAAGATATTTGGACAGATACTGGTTAGCCAGGCTCATTCACTGATTTCCATGTGTTTACCTCAATTATATGGTGACTTTCCTTTGAAATCAGTACTCCAACTGTTAGTACTCCAGCATTGTAGTACTCCAGCAATTAGAGTTTATTTGTTTTTGTTTTCTTCCTCTGTTTTTCCAGGCTTATTGAAAAGTTGCATACAAGTGCTAGCAGTTTTTCACAGCGTGCATTGTGATGCATAATGACAGGGTTGTTATAGGGTTTATTAGCAATTACTTTTTAGTGTTTGCCCAGAATGTTGCAGTTTTGCTTCTAAAATTGCTTTATAGATGTATTTGTCCATGCGTACATTATAAATGAGGGGATGTGCTGGTACATTTGCTTCCCAGAGCAGTCCTTTTCACACCTTATTTCTCCATGTTTAGCAAAAACTCTCTGCGTGTCCAGATTGCATTAAAGATTTTGAAGACCTGTTACCTGTGCAACAGAAGAACCTTTCTTGGCTAATGCAATGACAGTGTTGTGTGCTTTTGGCTTTCCTTTTCAGCACTTCTATTTTTTTTTATCAACCTTGGTGAAATAAAAGATTATTGGGTTTGCCTTTTATGTTGGCTTTGCAGGGCAGAAATGTGAATGAATCCTCGAAATAACTGGCTTATACTTGAAATGAGTCAATTTCAGGAAGGGATTGCTGCAGTGCTTACCTAGAATTTTAATGAAATAAATCTGTATTTACAGTTTGTGGTAATTCAGGCCTTTCATCACTTTGGGGAGCTCCCACGGTGTTCATTGAGTGCAGCTGCTGTCCCTCTGGTTTCAGTAGGCCTGGAGTGCCTCGGGACCCCAGTGTGCTCACCATCCAGATGTAGTGACACTCTCACACATCCGCTGTGGGAGAATGCCAGCATGGACATACGATTGCATCAATTTGTAATGCCCATACTGTGCCAAGAAAAATTATGTCTGTCATATGGTCTTTTTTTGCTTCGTGGCTCATGATTGATCCAGAGGAGCTGTTGTTTTCATTTACTTTGCCTATAGCCATAACATTCTCAGTGAAGAGTGCAGATTATATAACATGATGCATAACCTTTGACTAGGGTTTAAATTTAGAAATACAGAGAGTTTGGGAACTTCAGACTGTTTTAAATTGCATAGCTAACATCATCGCTTACTTGAGATGCTCTTGCGGCAGATCACATCTTTAATGCATTAGGAGGATCACATAGAAAGCTGGATACTGCTGACCCTTCATTATAACATTCCCTTGCCATGGATGGGTAAGACAATAAAACTTTTCATAAGCTAAATCCTGAAGTTCCCAGAATCCATTTGCCTTGGAGAGGAAATGCCTGTTCTACAACTGCTGTTATATCTCTGCGAAGTTACAACTGAGTAAATTGTTGAAAGTTCTTGTTTTTCAGCCACATGTGTTGTTTGTAGGCTCCCAGACGTGAAATTCTGATTTCTTCTATATAATTAGATTATACTGCATAAAATCACAAGACCAGTTTGCTCAAAGCCCCATCCAACCTGGCCTTGAACACTTCCAGGGATGGGCAGCCACAATTTTTCTGGGCAACCTGTGCCAGTGTCTCACCACCCTCACAGTGTAGAATTTATTCCTAATATCTAATCTAAATCTCTCCTTTTCCAGTTTAAAGCCATTCCCCCTTGTCCTGTCACTACATGCCCTTGTAAAATGTCCCTCCCCAGGTTTCTTGTAGGCCCCTTTATGTACTGGAAGGCTGCTGTAAGGTTTCCCCAGAGCCTTCTCTTCTTTAGGGTGAACAAGCCCATCTCTCTCAGCTTGTTGGTCATCTTTGTGGCGTTCTCTGGACTTGTTCCAACAGTTCCATGTCCTTCTAATGTTGGGTGCCCCAGAGCTGGATGCAGGACTGGAAGTGGGCAGTCAGGAGAGCAGAGCAGAGGGCAGAATCATAGAATCATAGAATAGTTAGGGTTGGAAAGGACCTTAAGATCATCTAGTTCCAACCCACCTGCCATGAGCAGGGACACCACACACTAAACCATGTCGCGCAGGGCTCTGTCCAATCTGGCCTTGAACACCGCCAGGGTTGGAGCATTCACAACTTCCTTGGGCAACCCATTCCAGTGCCTCACCACTCTCACTGTGAAGAACTTCTTCATTAGATCTAACCTGAACTTCCCCTGTTTAAGTTTAAAGCCATTACCCCTTGTCCTACCTCTACAGTCCCTAATGAAGAATCACCTCCCTCGATCTGGTGGTCACGCTCCTTTACAACCCAGGACACAGTTGGCTTGTTGCTGGGTCACGTTTTGCTTCTTGTCAGCCAACACCCGATGTCTTTTTCTTCAGCGTTGCTCTCAGTCCTTTCTCTGCCCAGCCTGTATTTGTGCCCTGACCCAGGTATTTCTATGTATTGATATATAATTATTGCATAGTAGTATACAGTTTAAAACTGTATACATTGCCATATATATGTGGGTAATTGACATTATCGATATCCGCATCAGGTTAATTATCTTAGCTATTGCCACAGTGTGACTTTCCTAAGACTTTTTCTACCTGTGTTTTTTGTTTCTTGCATAGTAAAGAAATTCTTGTCAAGAAAAATGCATTGCAGAGTGAATGGACTCTTAGTGCTTTGTATAGACTTTCGACATCTAATTCATGCATGAATATGGTGGTTTCCTGATAACTTTCATAGTTGAGAGAAATACAGATTACCTCTTTTTCTTCCAGGTACATACATTCAAATTAATTGCTAATATGTCAGTATTTTAGTTTGTTGTTTTTTTTTTTTTTTAAACCTGATTTTTATAGGTATGTATTTTGAAGGACTTGGGTTTCTATCTTTTGATGATGGAGAATCTAATTACTTTTGAACACATGGAAAGATGGGTTTCTTACATTTTTGAAAATAATAAAATACAGATTTAGTGTTGGACATTAATTTTTTAAATATTTTATTTTTAATTTTTAATTTAATGGATTAAAATTTATTTTATATTATAACCTTCAGTTGTTTTAATTATATCAGTTTACAGTCATCATTTTATGTTGCTGTACAAGAAAATCTAGAAGAATTTTAAAAAGTGAGCTGTTAAGATGGTCTCCCAACCAGTCTTAACATCCTGTGTAACTCAGGTGTGCGTAAGATGGAAATTACCATCACTGCTGAATTGCAGCATAAGGACAACATGCACTAATGCAAGTTTATAGGATGTTGAAGTATGGTTACTAGGAAGACACTACGTGTATCATCAGTGTATCATAAACAATATGTGTGTCAGTTCTCAGTCGGTTTCACATAGTCAAGTTAACTAGGTGAATTCTGAATTACTAGTGCTGCAGCAGAAGGGACAAATGAAGTCCAACAGATCTTTTAGCTCAGATGCATTGGTGTAGCTAGAGAGAACTAGAAAACTCTGTTGTACCTGATTTGCTTTTGCAAGGATACAGCTATAGCTGTATGCTCCTGCGGCTGTATTGTAGGTATGCCATTGGCTCCTATGGGTCAGCTCAGCTCTGGGGGACCTTACTAGGTTAGTTTGTGATGCTTTGTGGAGGGAGGCTGCTCTTTCTTCTTTGCAGCTGGGTTCTTGGGAGAGTATTTGAATTGAGCTAAGGTCCATGCCATGTATTTGGAGCTTGCTCTAACTGTGATAAACTAGTGGCTGGAAATAGAAGCCAGAACCAACCCTCACTCACCTAAGTATGCTTAATAATTTAACTACTTAAATTCAGTTTAGATTTTTTAAATGACCTGAGCCAGCAGAGCCAGAGCTTTTTTGATGCTGAAGTACTATTTCTAGGGACATGTTGTTGCCTCAGGCATGACATCAGGCCTAAGCTAGCCTATGTGCTTTGATACTAGTAATCTATGTAGTCATCCATAATGTGTGATGAGAGCATTATACTGTCATACTTCCAAGTCATGCTACCCTGCAGCCGTTATTATATATCGGGATTCAAGCTGTGCAATATGTGAATGATGCACTTCTCAGTTAATTTAGTTCTGTATTTTGTTTTATTTTCTTCCTTCCCTTCCTGTTACCTTGAATAACAGATTATTGTTTGTACTACAAACAGAGGTGGAGAGGTGTCAAAACACAAAGTGAATGGGGTGGAGAGAAAAGGAGGTGAGGCAAAACCACTGGGCAAATTATTCTCTGTATATACAGTGCCTAAAGTGTTGAGTAAACTAAACTAGGCACCAACCAGATGTTACTTACTTACATCACTCTGTCCAGCTTTGGCATAATGACAAGAATCCTATCTTTACATGGATGAAGTGATCTTGAAACACTTATGCACTGGGTTAGGCAGGTGCTAGCTGTTTCAGTATCAATAACAAGAATGTTATCTAGCCAGTTGTTATAAAGATAGATGCTGACTTTATGAACTATATAAAAGTGATTTCCATTCTGAGATTTTTCCTGCAATAGTTGTCTTTTCATACTGCTATAATCAACTTCATACTACTTCAAGTAACACAAGCCCCTCCCCTCACTTCCCCCGATTTTAAGTGCTTTCTGTGCCGAAAGTGCTGTCCTAGATATGGTGTGTATGTCACTAGTTTCAGATTTTTGGTCTAAATTTAAAAGACAATGTTGCATTCTTTGTATTACCAAAAAAAAAAGTTTCAAAACATGAACTTATTTTTCAGTGTGCTGTGTTGTCTTTCTAGAGCTAAAAAGAATCTGAAAATCTGAAAGAGGCTTGTTAAAAAGGCTGAATATCCTTGCCTGATACTCCTGTTGTTTAGATGTAAAGTATTAGCAGCGAGGATGTGTATGCTCACTTCAGTGTGTCTGAGAGCTGGAGATGGTAAGCAAGCACCATGTTACATGGTCAGGGTCAAGAGAGAAAAATCAGACTTAATTCTATGTTTCAATGAACTTCCAGAATAATGTTTCAAGTCAGAGACAGCATTATTATGAATCTTTGATACGGGTAAAGTGCTTATAGACTGAAACCTTAATGTCATGTAAACTGAAGGTCAAAAAGAGTGTGAGATTTCTGCTTGATTTAAAAACAAACCAACCAACATAATTAAGTTGTTGCATAACAAGTATTAAAACTGTATCAAAGAAACTTGGCAATTTTTCTCTTTAAAATACTTTACCATAAAATAGATCTCTCTTTCAAAATACTTTGTGTGTTGAATATTTGAATATGAGTGAGGTTCATATTTTGAACATCTGGGAGATGTTCATGTGACAAAATGTTTCTGCCGTAATGAACTGCTGCTGTTTTGAGTCAGGAGCAAGATACACATCAAGGATTTTAGCTACCTCTGTTCTGTGCTTACCTGAATTCTCCTTTCTATTGGACAGGCTAACTTCATTCCAGATATATGTAGATCTTATCTTGTGAAATAATGAAAACCTTAGAGAAGCACATATTTTTAATGGTTCTTTTTGACACACTTGCACACCCACTTTTAAGAGGTACTGTCAGGCTACTGTCGTATTTCATTAACAGGCTCTTAGAAGCAGACTTCTGGGAGTCACTTCAGTATTTATCCAGAAAGCTGTTGTATGAGCAGCTTTCTTTGTGAATACGCAGTATGTAGTTTCAAGCACAGTCTGTCAGGAGTCCTTAAGTACTGATAGTTCGTGCCATAACTTTTCCTGAATGAAGATTACTTGTCCCTTGCTTTTCTACTTTCTTTGCCTCTTGTCAGGAGTGGTGCAGTCAAAGGTGAAATTAATTCTTTTGGCAGCTTAAATTTTGGCTTTCCAGCCCTTGGAATAAGATTGTATGTGTGCATAGTATTTAATAAAAACCTCACGAGTATTTTGTTTTGTGTATTGCCAAAGTAGCTCTGGTCACAAAGACACTAAAATAATTTTATTAGAAACAAAAGAGAATTTTGTCGGAAAATCTTCTTTTCACTGCCAGAGGAGTGATGGGTTTTCTCAAGTGCACTTCAGAATAAGAGTTCTCCTACTGCACTGTAAGTGATTGAATTTGGTACACATAAGACTAGCTGCAGTACTACACATGGCTTACATTACTGAGTGGTATGAAACATAAGCTGTTAATGTTTTGTCCTGTATATTTGCTCTCCTTTTTATGATTCTAGGTGTTCTCCTTTGCAATAGGATTGCAAATATTTACTTGCTGAATACAATCTATTATCTTTCTTTCTTGAAAAGCATTTCTTTTAAAGCTGGCTTTTATCCTGCTGCTTGACCTAGAGCTTAAAGTTCTAGTATATCTTGTACTATGTGAATTGGTCATATGTCCTTAATTTTGTTGCTGGAGTTCCAATTATGTCATCTTTGCATTGTCTTAACGTTGTCTTGCTGATGGAGTGTTCAGTTGCCCTTTTAAGGATGTATTTGCACAGTGTTGAATTCACAATCTGTGTGTCATGGCAAGTTGATTTATCAGTCTTGCCCTTCTTTCTGAAGAAGTCCAGAGCGTTCTTACTACATTCCTTGGACTTCTGTTTAGAAATTTCTGTTCAGAAATCCAGAAATTTACAGTTCTCTTGAGTATTTTAGATCTCTTCCAAAGTACATGTAGGCTTCCTTATTAAACATGTAACTTCAGCCATATACAACATTTATCTGAGGCATTTTTGGTGGGCTTGAATCAGCATTCCGTTTGGTGATAGCTCCAGAGCTGTAAAGACATAAAATGCACAGAGCAGTAGACATGGTTATTCCTAGTTTATTCAGGGCCAGTAGTGAAGCAGAAGAGTACAATCTGCCCACTAGAAATAGAAATAGATCTGCTTCTATGCAAAATATGTTTTTGGGAGTTGCAGCTAAACCAGTTTAACACCTCCATTCTGACTTTTGTAAGGTTTTTACTCTTTCAGAACCACATGATAGCCTTGGCTCCTTCTCTGCTACCGTCTGTGTCTGCCTGAATTTTAGTGACTCGTAACTCATAAGCTGTGTATTTTCTCTAAGTTGGTTTTGAGCTGTTCTGAAGACATCGCCCACCTTCTCACTCTCCTTTTTTTTGGTTTTGTTTTTTGTTTTTTGTTTCCCCTCCTAAGATCAATCATTCAGCAAAACATTGTCTTGTGCTTGAAGTAGAGTCCTTTCTTCCTGTTGGATTGGAGTGTTAGATTGTGGTAACCATGCATACTCTAGAGATGCCTGAGTCAACAAGGTCATTGCCAGGGGCATTTCTAGGAGTAGCTTTACTTCAGGAAGGCTGCACATTCTTTTGGCCTTTTCATGGAGTGTTACATTTTGTGGCCAGTTCATTTACTCTGGGTGCTTTTACTTTTCAATGATGTAAGGGACCTACAAAGCATATTCATGTGGGTGGTGGTTTTGCAGCAAAAAGGCTTATACATAAGAACCTAAAGGTATCTTGTCACAAATTTTTAAATGTGGTACTGCTTGGAAGGTGGATGTAAATGCTTGGTGTGTGATGTGGCTCAGTTTGGTGATTGTAGCCATACAAAATTGTAGAATATGTCCTATTACCTACAAAAGTATCTGAAGAAAAGCTTGTTGGTATAAGCTGTTGCTGAGTGGAAAATTTACTCTGTTGGTCCCTCTTGACAGGATGTGTTCCCAGGCATTTCTGGCCATGAGTTCCTTCTATGTTGTCACTACAGGTGTCCAGCAGGCTCTCCAAAGCCACTTTGCAGGTGCAGCAACTTTCTGATTCTTCTCATGATGGAAGGATTGAAAATGTACTCCTGGCTTCTTTAGTTTTACTGGGGAATGAGCATATTCTTTTGCATACCTGCTGTGTCAGCCATACTTTTAACTTTGCAGAAAAGCAGCAGCTGCTTTCATACTGAAGAGTCAAATCTACGAGCCTTTTTCCCTTCCCCACCCACTAACTTCCCTGCAACACTGGAAAAGTAACTATGATATTGTTAAGGTTTAACCATTTCATTTTATTAATTCACATGTGTTCTTAGGAACTTCTCAGCCTTGTAGATTACAGGTGGTAATTTTACTATGCAAAACAGAGTGGTCAGTACTTATTAATGGGGTTGAACTTACTTTCCTGTTAGGTTTGGTATTCACCCTGTGGCTGGTCGTATGCCTGGTCAGCTGAACGTACTCCTAGCAGAGGCTGGTGTTCCCTATGATATTGTACTGGAAATGGATGAGATCAACAATGACTTCCCAGGTTAGCATGTAAGCTATAAGTTTCCGGTAGATTAGACTTGATCTTGTCAATTTTTATTTATTTCTGATTTTATATCACACAAGAATTATTAGAAATAGAATAGCTCATTCAGGCCATTCAGTTTCTCTTTATGCCTGTTTTGATCCTGCTGTAGAGGAGCAGAAGGTCTTTCTCTTGCAGTCAGACTGTTTTCCCCAGCTAATGGCAAGTGAACACAGAGAAATACAAGAAATAGAGTGACTCAGGAGCAGAAAATACAGACACGTAAAGCAAAGGGAAATATTGAGTGCAGGAGTACAGAAGAGCACAGATGTTGAGTGGAGGTTAAATAAGCCTGTGAAATGTGTTTCCTCCAGAACCAAGAGAACAGTGTTCTTTTTTAATTGGTTGTAACTGTGAAATAAGTGACAAATGCTGTGTCTTTTTTTAATCTCTGTTACTGCCCCATACAGGAAAACTACTGTTTAACTGACTTTAAGTCAGGTGTCATGGATGACTTGACCCTGTCATGTCTTGCAAACCAGTTTAGCATTGTACAGACAATGTCTTGCTTTCTTACATCTTTATTTAAAAATCAGGAAGTTGCTGGCAAAAGGTTTTTCAAAAGAATATTCAAAGGAAAAGTCAGGCACAAGGAAATTTGGAAGTAATGGTACTGTGTGTATATGAAACTACATTTAAATATCAAAGGAATTAATTTTGTGGGGCAGAATGATCTAACAAGTCCCTTAGAATGGGGTTCTGGATGCTTGCAGTTTGCTTGAGGTAGTTTGTAGCACACTTGGACTTTCACATATAACTTACCTTATAAGTTTGTAAAATACTTGTGAATGAGGTCCCCATAGATGTTGTAGAGTGCTTATCGTAACAGGTTTTTCTGCCTCTGAAGATCAGATTTAACACAAAAATGTACCTCAGCTTCACTGTTCAGGTTTTATATGATTTTTCATCAGCCTTGTTTTCTTTGTCTTGCTGCAGAAACTGACTTGGTCCTTGTAATTGGTGCAAATGATACAGTTAATTCAGCAGCTCAGGAAGATCCAAACTCTATCATTGCTGGAATGCCAGTTCTTGAAGTCTGGAAGTCCAAACAGGTGAGATTAACAGAGTTGCATTAGCACCTAGCATAGGGAGCATGCTTTTAACAAAAAATGGTTTATAGGATAATTATTAAGACTCTCCTATTCTTCTTGTTTCCATGAGAAGCTTTTCTGCAAGTTGACCAATAAAACAGTCAGTACTTTGAAAGTGTGATGCATTATTCATGATTTTATAATCATCAGCAAGTACTTCAGTAAGTCTAATGATGATTGCAGTAGAAAAGACCAATGAAAGTGCTTCTACTAAAAATGTGATTAGAATAAATTATGTTCTTCTCGCATTTGCAGCCCTGAAGCATTTCTGTACAAATACCTGCTTTTTTAAGTTTATAGGAAATTTGATTGACAACTCTGATATTGAAGTGGAAATACAAAAGTGAATAATATGCTTAAATAAAAAGAATCGAGACAGTAACTGGCTGGGTTTGAGTAGGGAGCTCAGTCTTTCCAGGTTCAGCTGACAGTTTAATTACCTCACCAGTTTTGCTCTTCCAGAGCAACATTGTCTCATCTAAAATACATACACTTGAGTTTCCTCATTGTGAAATCTTGGATAGTTTGTTTTGAACCCAGATGTAACCAGTTCATCTGAGGGTTTAGCTATTCAGATTCTCTGTTGTAGGCACATACATTTATCAGGGTCTTGCAATTTGGGAAATAAACATGTACATGAAGTTGATAAAGCTTCATAGTTTCTCTGCTGAAGGTGCCATGGTTACCTAATTTGACATTTAAGATCTAAAACTGGCTGAAATTTATTTGAGGATTAAAAAACCCCAAAATCTCATGTATGAAGTCATACAGAGTAATGATCTGGAGAAGTCTAGATAATGTTGCACCAGATGTTGATGTGAACGCTCATCTGAATTGTGTTGCTATCATGGAACTGGATCTTAAAGTAGTTCAAAATAAAAAAAAGCCTCAAAACCTCTGCTACAATCATCAGTGCCCATCTTAGAATCATAGAATAGTTAGGGTTGGAAAGGACCTTAAGATCATCTAGTTCCAACCCCCCTGCCATGAGCAGGGACACCACACACTAAACTATGTCACCCAAGGCTCTGTCCATTCTTGCTTTGACTTTATTATATGGACTAAGTAAAAGCATATGCATATGTAGCATCCACATTCTTTTCATCTGATGTGCAATACTGTGTTTAACAATAAATGTTTCTGAAACTGGTTTGGATATCAATTCTGTCTCCTGTATTAAATTTGAAATACAGTTTTGTAGCAGTGAGTACCCTATTTTGGCAAAGGATGCCTCTTCCTCTCCCTTTATTTGTGGAAGTTGGTTTTGTGTTGGCTTTGTTTGGAAGGGAGAGTGTGGTTAGTTTTTGCTGTTTCAAACGTGAACTCTTTATGTGCAGGTCGTTGTAATGAAGAGGTCTTTGGGAGTTGGTTATGCAGCGGTGGACAATCCAATCTTCTACAAACCTAATACTGCCATGTTGTTGGGAGATGCTAAGAAGACTTGTGATGCCCTGCAGGCCAAAGTCAGGGAATTGTATCAAAATTAAATATTGATTTGTATTCCACTCATGATTGCAATTAAAGTTTTGTCACAGAGGTCATGGAAAAAGAGAAGAATATTTACTGTCATAATACAGCCAGCATTTGGAGAAGACTGCATTGACTCCTAGGAGATGTAGTTCAGTTAGGGAATCATTGAATCATAGAATGGTTTGGTTTGGAAACCAAACTTAAGATCTTCTAGTTCCAACCCCCTGCCATGATTCCATTAGACCAGGTTGCTTAAAGCCCCGTCCAACCTGGCCTTGAACACTGCCAGGGATGGAATGCAGGCTGTATGAAAAGATGGTCATATTAGGCCTTCAAACTGAATCTCCCATGAGGCAATGCATTAAAGAATGAAAATGTGCTTTTTAAGGTTAACACTCAGCTGTTAGAAGCAGGAACTAATAACTCATGGTCATCTTTAAGTAGTTATTGGCTTCCTCCTCCTTACTGTCTGTACTTCTGTCACGGTAATTCACTAAAAAATACTGTGCCAAAATTGTATTCTGTCTTATCATCAAAGCTGTTCTTTGGCCAGTATGGACAAAACAACTATTTATTTCATCAAAACTTCAAGCAAAATTGCAAACAGATGCAAGGAGATGCAAGTAGATGCTTACACGATCTGAGATTCTGAACAGAATATTCTGTTTCTTTTGGGGATTTTACGGATGCTGTGAATCAGGAACATTCTAGGAAGGTTACTTTTCTTCAAAGAACAGTTCCACTTTTTTGTAGTGTCCGCTTACATTATGTAAACACAGGATTTCAGGGACCTACCCAGTGATTTTCAGGTCTGAGAAGGAAATGTACACATATGCACTGCTTAACTTTTTTAAGCAGCTGCTAAATGCTCCATTTTTTTCAGTTATTGCCTTTTAAGTGTCTGAGGAAAAATATGGTCCAGTTCTGCAAAGGCATAACATCTTGCGTACCCGATCTGTTCACAGAATTTGGACCACAGTGTTTCAGTTTATGTTCACTTAGACTTTTCACTGTATTTACTACTTTAAAATTTGGTGATGCTTTCTTAATTAACATTTTTTGATGCTGGGAAATGCACTTCTGAACATATTTAAGATGCTGGAGTTTTATTAGGATTTTTCTAAATAAGCTATTGTTTGAAAAGCACAGAAACATACCAATCTTAAAATCCAATATTTTGATAATTTGACTTCTCCCTAATCTAATTAAAAGCACTGTTAAATTCCCATAATAAGTTCAGCAAAGAATTAAATTACATTATGACATAGATTGCCATTTTGTTTTTATTATGTTAAGTGTACTTGAGTGGAGCTCAAATATTTGCCTAATAAAATGAATTTATCATGTTTCCATAATGATGTAGCAACTGTCCGTGGTGACGAAGGCTAAATAGAAATAGCTGTACTTGTGTTAGAAAGCAGTCATATTTGGGGAAGACAAACTGTTATGAAATAAGTCTTGAAATTAATCCATTTTGATTTTAGAACAAACATTTTTTTATTATACCATGTACAGAGACCTCATTTAAAATAGTGTATTTCTACTTAGCTACCTCTGTTTTTATGTGAAAATCATTTAAAACACAGACTTTGAACTGGTAAGAATTACATTAAGAATTGTAACTGTATTAAGGAAGCTACCCTTTTTGCAAATCTCTTTCATAGAATTTGAAACAAAAATTTTCATGTAAGCATTAATATGTTGTACACTACAGAAAAAGACTTGTAATTAAATTTTAATTTAAAACGTTGTGGCAGCTATGTTTGAATGTAGCATATATGGCCTCTTGATTTCATTGTATTCAACTTTTCTTTTAGGTCTGCAAAAAATAGGAAGATGGGAGAGCAGGAAAGACAAGGAAATAATCCTCTGTCTGTCTCCCAACTAAACAAAATGGGATTTGAAGGGATTCAACATCCTAAAGCATTAATTTCTGTCTTGTCAAACATGATATATCTAACTGTGTATGCAACATGTTTCTGCCTATAAACAGCTTCTTAAAAAAAACCTCACCAAAACCCACAAACAAAAACAATGGGGGAGGAACTTAAAAAAAAAATAAAAAAAATATCCATACCATTATGTTAGATCAGAGGAATCAGTGTTATCTTCAAAACTTTACCATGGAACACCAGCTGATGGTTGAAGTGCTAATAAAGTCAATTATTTTTCTTTATTCATCACTGTCTCTTTTCTCTCCTGTGTTTGTTGAGTAGGTAAGTAGTCTGAGATTCTTTCTGGGAGTTAGAAGATCAAATTGCCACCAAGGATGTTGAGATTGAAGAATGTAGTGAAAAGGAATCATAGTGAAATATGCATATTTCTTGTCTTTTTAATTTGAATAGTTATTTAAAATGATGTTACCTGACCATAGCAACTTCTAGTAAATGAAGAGGGTTAGACAACTTCTGAGAGCAGTTGATCCTAATATTTGTTGCCTTTTTGACTTAAAAAAACCCATGAAAAAGCTGTAAGAACTAACTTGGCTGAGGTGTGAGATTAATCCTATCCCCTTGAGCCTGATACCGTGTAAGTTTGCTTTGGTTCTTCATTATTTAGATCTACAAGATGGTCAAGTTGATTTTGTGATGATTTCAGTTTCTACTGAAATTATCATTAACTTCAAAGTGAATGATAACTTCAGCCATCTGCTAGTCTGTTCAGTTGTATCTTTGCACAAGTCTGACATGCAGCTTTCATGTTTTGTTGAGTTTTGGTCAAGCCAAGACTCAGAGGCTGCAGTCTGGCATTAGTTCATGAGTTTAACCCCTCTTCCCTGTTGAGCAGCCCACCTGGGAAGCATATACCCACATCATACAGATTTGCAGTCTCACAAATGGTAAAGCCATAGGCTATGTCCTTTTGTGGATCTGACATCTTACTCTACTGCATCTCCAGCTGCTTATTATCACCGAAGAGGTATTTACTCTAGCCTGCCTCCAGCAGGCTAAGAAAATCTGATCAAATTATTACAAAGCAGTGCAGCAAGAAAAAACGGAGATGATGGAGGACGCTGATGCCTGTTCAGCTGCTGGAACTTCTTCAGTTTGCAGTGTGTATCCATGGCCATGAGACACCTTGGATCTTTGTTTTTAATACAAGTTGTTGCACTACTAGAGTTACGGAGGAATTTAGTTTGGAAGGATCCTCTATAGATAATTTGGTCCAGTCTCCTGCTGAGTTTGATCTGATTGCTTCAGGCTTTGATTTGAACATTTCATGGGTGGAGATGCCACAGCCTCTCTGTTCCAGTGTTTGATTCTTCCCATTGTGAACAATTTTTTTCTTTCATATCTATTGGCATTTCCTTTGCTGCAATTTGTGTGCCTAATCCTGTTACCGCATCCTTCTGAAAAGAGTCTTTTTTCCCCAGTCTCATGGAATACAACAGGAAAATTCTGCCCTTATCCATCTATGGCTGATAAACGCCATATTTTATTTCTCCTAGTATGTTGTGTGAATGGTAGGTCCCAGCTTGGCTCACTCTGGTATATTAGAGTTTTTTTTTTTACTGGGCACACTAATGCAGATGCAGTCTCACAAATAAGAAGTGCAGGAAAATCATCACTTCTTTTACCTGTGGGCTATGTGCTTACTGATGCAGTCCAATACATGGTTGGCCTTTGCTGCAAGGTTGTGCTGCTGTTGTTCGTGATTGCCTAGTGGGACCATCTTGTTTTCCGCAGAGGTGTTTTCTTGCTAGTTGTCCCCCACTCTGTGCTGTTGTGTGGGGTTATGCCATCTTTACATCGGCCTTGGAACTTTATCAGATTCCTGTCAACCTGTTCCTTAGCCTGCTGAGGTCCCTCTGGCAGTCATGCCCTCCAGAAATAATTTGTTCCTGCAACTTGGTAAAATCCGTGAGCTTTCCTTCTGATTGTCCAGGTCAATAATAAGGAAGTTGGAGACTTCAGTACTGACTCCCTCATGATGTTATTACTTCACCACTAGCTGGATTTCTTACTGTGATCACAACCATTGGAGTCTGGTTGATACTCCACCTGTGCAAACTGTATGTCACTAATGTGCCTGGATACTGCATGAAACCTGGTCGAAGGCCATGCAAAAAGTCAAGGTATGAGCATCCTTCACTCTTCCTGTGCCATCTCACTGCAGAAGGCAGACAGGTTGGTCAGGTATGATAAAATCATGCTGTCTGTTCCCAGTTACCTTGTTTTTTGTGACATTCTGAAGGGATATTGGTTATATATCCTTCCCAGGGTCAAAGTTTGGCTGCCTGGCCTGTTGTTTCCCTTGCCCTTCTTAAGCCAGCAACTTATTATTCAGATCAGAAGTTAAATTCTAACTGTAAGAGCTGCTATTTCTAGCAAGCACAGTGTTTACTTTCCGTCTTGAGAAATACAGAGTTTTGTGATGGTAAATTGGCTTTGTAACTTTTTGTAAGTAGGGGAATTTCACTGATTACCAGATGACGAGTTTGCAGTTATGTGGTCTGTTAATCTATCAATCTGTTTCTCAAAGTCTTGCATTAGTCTGGAATTTTAGAAACCGTATCTTAATCTAAAGAGTTACAGATATCCTGCTATGTTGGTTCCTTGTAGCAAGCATGCATTTCTGGCCAATTCAGATAGAGAAATTAGGGACTGAACCTACTTTTGTATTTTAGTTTGAATAAAAAGCTGGCTTTTGGAGCAAATCACAGTTTCTTCCACTTGCTAAGTTTTGATTTCTGTTGCAGAGCTGTCTTGGAGCACACAAGCTTGGATTCTTTTGAAACTAAGCTATAACATGCTCTAGAGCTGTGAATGAACAATCAGTCTGTAGAACCAGATCAGCAGTATTCCACAGCAAACATCCTCAAGCATACGGAGTGCAGTTGATATCCTTGACACCGAGTGCCTTTTTTGCCAGGTTTAATTCTGTTGCGCCAAAGTAATTACTAAGGTAGACTTCCAGATCTCCAAAACACAAGAGAGGATGAGAGGCTGTAATTCTCTTTCTTCCATTCTAAGGCTTAATTATTTGTAGTAAGTTAACTTAAAATTAAAATTCAAAAAACACCCACCCCAAAACAGAAAAAGATTTTTGCTCTACAAGCATATGTATATTTTTTTATAAGCTT